GGGGGGGGGGGACAGTATGTATGTCTCATGATTTTTAGGACATATTTTGAAATTTACAAGCTAATTTACAGGAATTAGGCGATTTTCTCAATTTTTCGTGTGTTATCTCATGGGCTACCACACATGAAAAACTGAGAAAATCACCTAATTTCTAAAAATTGGCCCCTAAATTTCCAAAATGGACTCTAAAAATTGTGAGACTGTACATACTGCTATCCAAACTCCCTACAGAGGGTTTCGTAAAGAAATCATCAGAAGCCAAATCACCAAAATATGCATGGGCTAACACACACGAAAAACTGAGAAAATTGTCTAATTCTTGTAAATTGGCCTCTAAATGCCCAAAATGAACTCGGAAAAATGTGAGACTGTACGTATTACTACCCAAACTCTCTATGGAGGGTTACATAAAAGTTTCTTGAAGAAAATGATCCGGAAGTCATATCATTAAAATATTCATGGGCTAACACACACGAAAAATGGAGAAAATTGACTAGTTCCTGCAAATTGGCCCTTAAATTCTATAAATGGACTCTAAAAATTGTGAGACTGTACGTACTGCTATCCAAACACCCTACGGAGGGTTTTGTGAAGATTTCAGAAAGAAATCATATGGAAGCCATATCGCCAGAACATTCATGGGCTAACTAACACACACGAAAAGCTAAGAAAATCGCCCAATTCCTGCAAATTGGTCTATAAATGCTCAAAATGGACTCTAAAAATTGTGAGATTGTATGTAATGCTCCCCAACTTTCTACATAAGGTTCTATAAAGGTTTCTCAAAGAAATCGTTCTGAATCTATACACCAATATATTTATGGACTAACACACACGAAAAACTGAGAAAATCGCTTGATTCCTATAAATTGGCTCGTAAATGTGCAAAATGGACTCTTAAAATTGTGAGACAATACGTACTACTCCCCGAACTCCCTACGGAGGGTTCTGTAAAGGTTTTGCAAAGAAATAGTCCAGAAACAATATCACCAAAATATTTATGGGCTAACACACACGAAAAACTACGAAAATTGCTCAATTCCTGTAAATTGGTCTCTAAATGTCCAAAATAGACTCTAAAAATTGTGAGACTATACGTATTGCTCCCCCAACTCCCTACGGAGGGTTCCATAAAAATTTCGCAAAGAAATCGTTCAAAATTCATATCACCAAAATATTCATGAGTTGACACACACAAAAAACTGAGAAAATCGTTTAATTCTTGTAAATTGGCCTATAAATGCCCAAAATAGACTAAAAATTGTGAGATTGTACGTACAACTCCCCAAATCCCTATAGAGTGTTTCGTAAAGGTTTAGTAAAGAAATCGTCAAGAAGTCATATCACCAAAATATTCATGGGCTAACACACAAACAAACAATTGAGAAAATTGCCTAATTCCTGTAAATTGGCCTCTAAATGTCCAAAATGAACTCTAAAGATTGTGAGACTGTACGTACTACTACCCTAATTCCCTATAGAAGGTTCTGCATATGTTTCACAAAGAAATCGACTGAAAGTCATATCACCAAAATATCCATGGGCTAACACACACGAAAAATCGATAAAATTGCCTAATTCCTGAAAATTGACCCCCTAAATGCCCAAAATGGACTTTAAAAATTGTGAGACTATATGTACTGCTCGCGCAGCTCTCTACAGAGAGATCCGTAAAGGTTTCGCAAAGAAATCGTCCTAAACTCATATCACCAAATATTTTTGGGCTAACACACACGAAAACTGAGAAAATCGACTAATTCTTGTAAATTTGCTGGTAAATATCCAAAATGGAATCTAAAAATTGTGATACTGTACGTACAACTCCTCAAACTCCCTACAGAGGATTTGGTAATGGGTTTTCAAAGAAATCGTGAAAAAGCCATATCACCAAAATATTCATGGGATAACACACATGAAAAACTGAGAAAATCACTTAATTCATGTAAATTGGCCTTAAATGCCCAAAATAGACTCTAAAAATTGTGTGTACGTACTGCTTCCCCAATTCCCTACGGAAGGTTCCGTAAAGGTTTCACAAAGAAATAATTTAGAAGTCATATCACCAAAATATTCCTGGGCTAATAACACACTAAAAATTGAGAAAATTGCCTAATTCCGGTAAATTGACCCCTAAATGCCCAAAATAGACTCTAAAAATTGTGAGAGTATAGGTATTGCTCCCCCAACTCACTACGGAAGGTTCCGTAAAGGTTTCACAAAGAAATTGTCTGAAAGCCATATTATGAAAATATTCACGGGCAAACTAAGACATTAAAATTGAGAATATCATTTAATTCCTATAAATTGGACCCCAAATACCTTTATGAGATTGTACGTACTCGGTACTGCTCTTCCAACTCTCTACGGAGGGTTCCGTAAAGGTTTCACAAAGAAATCATTCGGAAGCCATATCACCAAAATATTAATGGGCTAACACACACACGACAAATTGAGATAATAACATAATTTCAGTAAATTGGCCGCTTAATTCACAAAATGAACTCTAAAGATTTTGAGATGGTATGTACTGCTCTTAACTCCCTACGCAGGGCTCCGTAAAGGTTTCGCAAAGATAATTGAGAAGCCATGTCACCAAAATATTCATTGGCTAACACACAAAAAAATGAAAAAATTGCCCAATTCCTAAAAATTAGCTCCTAAATTTCTAAAATAGCCACAACTTCTGTTCTATATTTTTTGCGAAACATTTATGGGGATCTTTCGTAGGGAGTTTAGGAGAAATGCGTACAATCTCACCATTTTTAACTACATTTTTGGGCATTTATGGGCTATGTTCAGTATGGAAGTAGATATTTTCTTGAAAATGCTTTCTAATTTTCTGATTGATTAAAAAAAATTTAGAAAATATTTTCTTTAGAAAAATAAGTTATTTAAAGAGGAGGAAAATGATTTTCCTAATGAAAGTAGATAAATTGAGTTCCACAAGTATCATTTCACATTGATTATATCATTTGTACTCTTCAATAAACCTCATCGTCACTTTCACCCTGTAACCCCATCCAACCTCAATCCGATCTCTTATAACATTTATATCTAAATTACATATACATACACTTAGAATACTATTTTATTATTTATATATTCATCAAAAAAACATAATTATTAACGTCAAAAAACTTTAATTGATTAAAAAAAAAAAGGGTGTTTGTTAGTATAACATTTTTAGATATGAAAAAAAGTCAAAAGAGTCCTATCAATAGAACAAAAATAATGAGATCATCCTTTGCGTAAACATAGGATTTCACCAAATAATCTAATTATGAACTTTGGCAGCTAAATTAGTACACTTGAGTATTGACACTCCATTAATAAAATAGTTAGGTAAATATATACAACCAATTAAACCCCACTTAATAATTAATTAATTAATTAATGTACAAATGCTTCATCCCAAAAATTGCTGTAAGGTGGTCTGTTGTTTAGGATTTCAGATACTGCCAGCTATTTCAGTAGGCCAGCCTTTGACACAAACAATACTTAATTAGCCTTTCGTTTTAATTTGTTTGTCCTATTATATTTAAAAACGTTTGAATATTATAGACATAAACTAAATATATATCAAATATATCAAAATAATTTTTTGTTTTTGTAATCTTATATATGTCATGCGGAAAATTGAAATTAAAGAATTGTCAAAATAAAATAAAATAGATATTTATTTATCTGATTAAAAAAAATAGTACAAATAAATTGAAACAGGAGAGTAACATAATTTCAATTTTGTGCCTTTTCTTCTAAGGTTTCATATTGTTTTTCCAGTTAAGTGTATTTGGCATGGGATGGATGGAGAGAATGTTTTTCAATTTTTTTTTAATCTTCTTTTATGTTTGATTCGGTCGAAAATATTTTTAAAAATATATTTTTTAGAAATAAATTTCTTAAAAGATAATGAAAATGACATTTTTTTTTGGTGAAATTAGCAAAATAAATCTCATAAAATGTCTCCCTTCTACCCCACCCCCTCTTCCCTCCCACCTCTGTCCTCCCACAACCCCATCCCCATCACACCAACCCTACCCCACCCCTTGGACACCCTAACCCCACTCACACTCTCATTACTCTTCATACGATTACACCGTAAATGTTGTCATGTTATGATATGAGAAGATGAATTTTCAATTAATAGAGGTCTAAAATTTTTCTTCCAAAAAGGAGTAGTCAGTTATGAATTATGAGGTCTATTTATTTATTTATTTTAACAAAGTAAAAGTAATTATGATAATACTTTAATTTTTTATTAAAAAATTAAAATTCAAATACCATAAGAAAATTAAAGGCAATAGTTTTCATACCATATCAAATTTCTTGTTGTGTTTGCTTTGACGTATGGACACTTTATTTGTCAATTGCAATTTTATCCTAACTTCATTTCCTTTTTCTTCTTGTTATTTATAATTTTGTTTCATCTTATAAGAAAGTTGGAACAACTTGGGATGGTTAATTAAAGAAGAAAAGGTGTGTAGGTAACAAATTCTAGCTCTTGACCATCTGAGTTAGCTCTTCCAAAAGAAAAACGAAATGAATCATCTGATCTTGAAATCTAACAATTAATTAATTATAATCTATAAAAGCAGAAGATAATCACATTCCTAGGTCAAAAAAGGTCGAAAAACATTCGTTATTCATTGATTATTAGCGGTATCTCGAAAATATTTGAATCAAATGACTTAGTTCTGGACTAGAGTGTTGTCAAAAGGAGTGACAATGTAATACACAAAAAAGAAGAGACTCATAGAAGGATAGATGCAAATAGAATTTTCACACATTTTCATTAATCCATGAACACGATTTATACATCTGACAATTAAAAGATTAACAATGCAATTCGTTATGAGGAAATGCTCATATTTTAATTAAAAATTATTTATAATATATAAAGCAAGTGTCATAAATATTATTATTTAGGAACGAATATCCATAATATTCACTTCTGGGTTAGTAATATTCATAACTCCATTACCTCTCCCACACCCCTATCTCAAAGGTTATTAATGTCATAGATAACCTTATAACTAACTAGTGTAACATATTACATTACATGTTGAAAGAAAGTTATGTTAATTAATGACCACACATGACTTGTTAGATTCACTTTACTAGTTCTTCATGTATGGTACTCATATTATTTTTAATTAATTGGCAGGATGCTTTATTTATAATATTTCTGGTGGGGCCACACTTTTTAAAAGTATATAATATACTTTTGAAAATGTAATTATATTCGAGTGATAATTTTGAAATGCTTGATTAGAAGGAAAGTCATATTCTAATTAAGAGGATAATAATCTCCTTTTATTTGTCACAACCTAATCTAACAACTAATTGTCTTCTTTTAGAAGTCAATTAGTCTATTAAGATAAGAGTCTTGTTTTCAATCTATTCTTTACCTTTTTTTTTCTAATTGAAATTTGTGCTTTTAAAACATATCTTAATATTAATGTGGCTAGAAAAATTGTTATTAAAAGTATGTTTGGTATGACAAAAAAATTTCTTTCCATGTTTTCAATTTATTCTTTACCCTTTTTTTTCCTAATTGAAATTTATGCTTTTAAAACATATCGTATTATTAATGTGGCTAAAAAATTTGTTATTAAAAGTATGTTTGGTATGACAAAACAATTGCTTTCCATGTTTAGTTATTTTATCTAGAAAAATAAGTTTTGAAAATTAGAAAAATGACTTACCTTAGTGCATCGTAGAGAAGTAGGGAAGTTCCACAAGTGTCATTCACAATTGATTGTTTCCTTTCCACCGAAACACTTTGCTCCGATCCAACTACATAATAATATATTCAATGTAGTCTTATAAATAGGGTCTAAAGAGGTTAGGATGTACACAGATCTTATCCTACCTTTATGAATTGGAGAGACTATTTATGATAAATCCTCGATCGGCTCAAAGAATAGTTTCAAAGCAAGGTAGTAAGAATACATGAATAAGTTAGTAAGATACAAATTAAATGAAAAAACATATATTAATACATGACACCCTGCCCCGATCTCACATCTCCGTTTCATCTTGATGTCAAGTGGTAAGTATTCATTCATCATTAATCAAACATGTCATGTTTATGACATGGATTTATAAAACCGTCTTTAATAGGGAGCACCTTAACTCCCATAATAATAAAATTTTATGTGAATTTAAATTAATCGAGCCTTAAAATAAATAGCAAACACCGAATGAAAAATAAAACAATTGGCGTGCCTACATTAATAAATTCACGATAGCCAAAGTCCATGCTATGGACTATACTCTTGAAATGATACACACACTTATCTAAATGGGGAAAAAAGGATACTAGTAAAAAATGAATTTCATGTTATACTAATTAATTTGCATTGACTTAGAAGGTGATAATGTGGACAATAGTTGTCACAATAATTTTATTCAAATTAAAATGCTTGATTGATGGTAATTTATAAATAATAAATCCACATGAAGATATCAAATTAAATCGTTACGAAAGTATAAAAAATTTAGCACCTAAGTTGTTGCACGGATAGTGATCAATAAAGTCAAACAAAACTCGATAAAAATGTATTCATATCGAATACTTATATTAAATTAATTAAGTTAACCATAGTAATTTAATGATTAAAGTGAAAATATATACAACTTAATCATGACATAATAATAAATGTGCATGTAAAAGATATTTTTCTTATATTATTATGCATTTGATGAAAATAATTTTTTATCGAATAAGAAGTATATCAAGTTCAAATTTCAACGAGTACAAAAACACTCAAGTTATTCAATATTTATATTAATATAATGTAACATGTATATGATAAATTTAATTAAAATATGTGCATACTAAATCAGGCACCTTGTAGAAACAAATAATTTATGAGATAACTCTCATGAGTTGGCAAAATTTATACATAAATCCACATAAAAATATTAATATGTATTCAATATTTTAGTGTGTAAATTGAGCGTGATATATAGTGGAATTAATCATGTGGACAGATAGTATTTTTCAGATTTTAATTTTAACTTGGGTAGGAGCCATATATAACACATGAGAAAGTAATGATTATTTGCAAAATTCTAATTTTGGTCCTTAATTATGTTTAGAAAATTTATCCTCTTTTAATTATTATTTTTGTAAATAGTTTTCATGACCTTTTGAATTACGATTTCAAATTCTGAATCTATTTTTAGATTAGCACTTCCTGACTAACCCTTGACTATGGTTTGAATCTTTTGTCTGCTTTAGAAGTGGATTCGAACATCTAACATAAGAATTTGCAGTCCTTTTCTCTAACCTGCAGCTGAGCTACCTGAATCACTTTTCTAAAGTTTGTTTTCTTCATCGAATAACGCCCTACCTTACCACTTGACTAGTAAGAGAAAAATCATTTACTAAGTTAAAAAAAATAGAATGTATAGGTTTTTTTCGCTTCTTCATCAAGCTTTCGAGCAACTCTTTCAACTACTGCATAATCTCCAATTTTGAAGATTAAATTGCTATTTTACAAAATTAAAAAAAAATATTGTAATTTTTTTTCCTTTTTTCATGAAACATTCTATGGTGAAATTAGTTTAGGGGATCAACTACCATCCAAAAGAAAATCCATGTGAAAATAACTTTTTTCAAAAAAAGAGTGCTTAGTTTCCTCCATTTTTAAATGAAAAAAATAATATAATCAGCATGTGTAGTTTCCAATTTATTGAAAATAAAATAACTCCATGTTGCCCCCACATTTCATTTATAATAATATAATTCTTACAAACATCATTTTAGTTTATTCTCTTCCGGCTACATATATAATATAATACATTATTGTTTCCCTATGCTTCCCACCCCAACATTTTATAATGGTTGCATAAATATTTATGACTTATTTAAGATTATAAATTCTAAGATATTTCAAAATTAAATTTTTTATGTCTCCAATCAAAAGTCATCACATAAATAGTTGATTAACAATATGAGTAGCTAATTAATAGTAAGAAATTATATAAAAAAATATGATGGGATGGATATAACTTCACACATTATATAAAATAATACAGAGGGAGTAACTAATTAGAAATAGTGAAGAACTATATCAAGTTGGAGTATGGTAGAATGGATGAGATTTCTTTAACTTTAACAAAATTAAGATCTCAAGTTCATACATTGAAATTTGAATGAGCCTTGCACGATACAAATCCATATTAATGAGATCAATATTTTCCGAATATTGAATCTTTATACAAAATAAAATAAAAGGCTATGAAAAAACAATTCGGTATACAAAGTATTTTGCATTCACATGATGGTCAGAAATGGACCGCACCTAAAAAGTGTGATGTAAACAACTTTTACTAATACAAATATTAATAGTTATTTCCACAACTCAAACTCGTAACCTATAGATTACGGAGCGATTACAACTGCATCAAAACTCCAAGCTGGCTAAGATAAAGAAAGAGTGAACTCAAGTACCTACCTAGCTGTTTTCTTTTTCCATGAAACATCCTATATGGCAAAAAGTTTTGGGATCAAACTACCCTCCAAAATAAAATCCATGAGAAAAAATAATCAATCATGTGTTGTTCCAAATTTTCAAATAAAACAACTCCATGATGCCCCCACATCTCATATAAAAAAAAACAAATCAAAATTCTTGCAAACATCACTTTAATTTATAATATTCATACTATATATTATATATATAGTACATCATCCTATTCTTCTCACTTCACAAATTATACAAATTGCTATCTTTTTAAGATGGGATTTTTGTTACTCTCTCTATTCTTGATATTTTTTGTAAGAATAAATAATTATGTGAATGCTACTAATTATTCAATAGATGCAATTAGCAATATTGGGTGCAATATTTTTATTGGAAAATGGGTTTTTGATTCTTCATATCCTATGTATGATTTTTCAAAATGTCCATTTATTGATAATGAATTCAATTGCCAGAAGTACAAGAGACCTGATAATTTGTACCTTAAATATAGATGGCAACCTTCCTCCTGCAACCTCCCAAGGTAGAGTACTACTTTCTCCTTTTTCCATTTTTGCCTTTTTTTCATTACCTTTTGTCACTTCCTCCTGCTTTGATGTGTCTTACTCGAGTCGAGGTTTTTCTTTTTTGGAAAGAACCTTTTTATTTTCATCAGGTAAGAGTAACGTCTGCCTATATTAATTCTATTCTCTCCTGACCCTGTTTAGGGACTACACTGAATTTGTTGTTGTTGATAGTTATTAGAGGTGTGATTCTATGCGTAAGGACTGAGGAGGGTAGAAAGTACACACACCTTATCCTTTCCTTATGAGATAGAAGTGTTATTTTCGATAGACTCTTGGTTGATGGAACTATATAGAGTTAAGGTGGTTAAATCGAATCCGATATCTTTTATTGAAAAGTTAAACTATACAAGCATAGTAAAAGTAAACTTTTTTTTAGTTATATATAAACGGTTGAATTCATTTGATATAAGAAATGATTCTAGTGTGAAGGAAAAAAGGTCTCAAAATTGTAAAAATGATAGGTACAAGTACTAAGTGTCAAATTCTAGTATTTTATTTGAAAAAATAAAATTTCAAATTTAGTTAAGATTGTATCGTAGAATCTAGAATTCATATGATTCAAATCCTTATTCTATCTTTATTTGCCATTATTGACAATAATAAAGTTTTTTACCAAGTTATATAAATAATTTTATATTATCAGTATATAAAACTTGAACTGATTATTAAATATTTTGTAGGTTCAATGGTTTGGTTTTCTTGGAAAAATACAAGGGGAAGAATATAATGTTTGTGGGTGACTCATTAAGTTTGAATATGTGGGAGTCATTGGGTTGCATGATTCACTCTTCATTGCCAAATGCTAAAACTTCACTCACAAAGAAAAATGGAATTGCTGAAATTGCATTCTTGGTGAGTGAAATTCAATTCTATGCACATGCAAATTGTTTCTATTTATTTGTCTTTTTAGTTCAACTTTTTGTCAACTATATATTTGGCAAGATATGCTTGTCATTTCATAAATTGAAGGAAAAGATACACTTTTAATCCCTCAACTATCTATGAATTTTTTATATTATTCTTTATCATATACAAATCAATTGTGTATAATTAGTGTATAATATATGTATATTAAGTTCAATGACTATAAATATTTTTGATCGAACAATTAAATGTGCATAGGGCTATGGAGTTAGATTGTCAATGTATCGTACTCCATACTTGGTGGACATGGTCAAAGAAAATATTGGCACTGTTTTGAAGTTGGATTCCATTAGTGATGGCAAAGCTTGGATGGGAATGGATGTATTGATTTTCAATTCATGGCATTGGTGGACTCACACTGGCAGCTCTCAACCGTAAGTTGAACTTTGTCCATCTATTTGTATACCGTTTAATTTTTTTATAACGATATCGTTTATTTTTTATATTCTTTTTAACTTTTATAATAAAATATTATTATAAAGAACATATAAAATAACATAACATAAAAATCAGTTGGGAAGAAAATTTGGATATTATAGTGAAAGTATTGTTATAAAGTTGGAATTGTTGAGTATTTGTGTATATGGGTGGCAAAATTAATTCATAAAAATGTGACTTGTCCAATTCGTTTAAATTTGATGAGTAGGTTGGGCTCACTTGAGATGGACATATTTTTATGGGTAAATTATAGAAAATTCACTAGTTTAGGGTCTAATCATTTAGATATACGCTAATTTGCAATATTACATATGTTACATGATTTTGGTGCGTCTAGATACATGTATCTCGAGAAAATATGTACTCAAAATTAAGTGTAATTTATTCTAGATACACTGAATTTAAGTGGATTTGCATGTATCTGAGATACATAGTCAAATTTCACTTGCCTCCATCCCATCTCCGCTCTCATGTCTTGCTTGCGTATCTGGTATTCCAAAATACATGACACCATGCGAATCAAACCAGATACATGTATATTGCGTATCTAGTGTGATTCACATGTATCTGAGATACATAGACAAATCTCACTCACCTCTCTCTCATATCTCGCTCGCATATTTGGTATCCCAGATACATGTATACAATGTGTATCTAATGTGATTCGCATGTATCTGACTTGAAATTTAATATGAAATTATTAAATAATGAGATAAAATATAATTATTTCAAACTATAAAGAAAATTAGTAAACATGATATATATGAATATTTGTTTGATTAGATAGTTTCTCCTATTTTTATATAGAAATAATGTTAACTAAACACTTTTCAAATATATCTTTGAAATTTGAAATTTGAAATTTTAACATATAGTTATTTTGCAATGATAGAAACTAAAATATGGTTATTTTGGTTGTTTGTGAATTTTATCCTATTAATTTCATGGTAGGTCAATTTGCTCATATCTCATGTCAATCCTTTTAAAACTTGAGTTGATTTAGCTAAATATATAAGACAAATTAATAATAAGAAAATATGTGTAATTATAATGAAGAACAAAAAGCTTTATTTGGTAATGAAACAAAATATTCGAAAAAATAAATAGAATTTGATCAAATTGGACGAACTAGATTATGGTATATTATTTTTGTCTATCTTACCTAAACTTGATTTCAATTCAAACATTAATCCATTCATTTATTAATTCAACCTCTCTAATCTACATAAATTTAGTTCAAGCTATCCACTTAACACCCATAATTGTGTAAATATCGCAGGTGGGATTACATGCAAGATGGGGGCAAAATTGTCAAAGATATGGACCGTTTGGTTGCTTTCTCCAAAGGAATGACCACTTGGGCTAGATGGGTCGATAAAAATATCGACCCATCTAAAACTAAAGTCTTCTTCCAAGGAATTTCCCCCACTCACTATAAGTAAGCAATTATCTAGCTCCTTGATTCCTTCTCGAGTTATATATATATATTTCTATAATGACTTTGTTATATATATATATTTCATACGAAGCCAAATTTGAAAGACGATCTATGCAATCATCCCCTCTATTTTTAGTTCTATAATGACTTTGTTAAAAAGCTAGTCTAATTACTTGAGTAACTTTATTAATACAAAACAAATATAAGTGACTTCAGTAGATTTGCTATAGTTGAATTACTACATAAGCTATTCACTCTACTTTTTTCATAAAAGACGAAAGAAAGAAGAATTAACTAAAATGTCTATCCCTCTCAAATGTATAATATATGTATATTAACTAAATATTTTTTATCGAGCGATCGAATGTGTAACTACAATGTGCTAATGTGGTAAAAAATTTCAGGGGCAAGGATTGGAATGAACCATCAAAATCATGCAAAGGACAAACACAACCATTTTTTGGCACAAATTATCCAGCAGGGACACCACAAGAAGCAAATGTGGTCAACAAAGTAATCAAAAACATTAAAAACAACGTTTATTTATTGGATATTACAACTCTTTCACAATATAGAAAAGATGGACATCCAGGATATTATAGTGAAATGCATGGATCAGATTGTAGCCATTGGTGTCTACCTGGTTTGCCTGATACTTGGAACCTCCTTCTTTATACAATTCTTATTGGTTGAAATCGCGGCGACAGGACAGTCCTTTAGTCGCCACAAAAATTAGGGGTTTTCGTGGCCGCTCTAAAAGTGTTGCCACGAAAAGTAAGATGATCTGAAAGTCGTTTAAGAATAGTCTAGTCGCTGAAACTTATTGGTGGTGACCCCTAAAGTTTGCATTGAAATGTTATTTTCCATGGCAACTTTAAAGATCGTTATTACATTACAACTATCACCTTTTTAGTTGCCACAAAAACTAAGGGTTTTAGTGGCCGCTCTAGAAATTTCGTAACTAAAAAAAGTGATAGTTTTAGTGATGACCTTTGAAGTTGCCACGGGAAGTAACATATAATGAATAAGTTTCAATGACTTCGACTATTCTTTAAGGGTCGTCACGAATAAATTTCAACAGCAAAACTATTCTTAATGGCCTTCAAGTCGTCATGAAAAGTCCCTTGTAGAGTTTTGTGGCGACAAAGTCGTCACAAAAAATGTCATTTATTCTAGTGTTATGTTATGTATGATCATTATTCTATTTTACTAGGGAAATGTATGTTGTTTAGGAATTTGATTGACTTCTATTTGAATGACAAAATAAGAAGGTTGATATTTGAATTGTAAAATGTGTGTAAGATCTTTAGGCATGAAAGGATGCCTTAGTCCAAATTGTTTTGTAAGATAAATAATAGGATAAAAGGAACAAGTATTCATAGACTATGATCGAAATTTCAGAGATATATTTTAACTAAACTAAGGTCATATTATTTTCTAAATTCACTTTTCTGTAATATTGTACACCTTTTTAGTTTATGTGGCATACAAACATTTCTCACGTGTCTCAACAACGTGGAGTTACGGAGTGTACTACGTAAGTCAAAAGGTGTACAAAATTATGAAAAAAATGAATTCAAAGAGGTAATATGACCTTAGTTTAGTTAAGGTATATCTTTAAGATTTCAGTCATCCTCTAAGGGGTACTTGTGTCTTTATCCCGATAAATAATTAAACAAAACAGAGTGACTAATAATGATGTCAAAGAACAAAGAAGACAAAACTTGCTTCTTGGAACATAGGTCAATTCAACAAAGTGACAATTTGATCTCTCAAAAAACACAAAGAAGATAAAAGTTATGTACTAAAAAAGAGATAAAAGTTGCTACATAGACAAATCCAGTGAGTGACACGTTTGTAAAGTAATTGGTGACTAGTGAAGTTTTCTCAAATCCACCATATCTCACCACGTGTCATGACATAAAACTCAATACTCACCACCAATTGAACCACTTGTCAACAACCTACACCCTCTATGTTTCTCTTTTTATACACTCTTTCATCACTCACATTTCAACACAAGACAAAATCAAAAAGATCAACTAAAATTATCAACGTTTAGTACTTTTTTTGTTACTACCACAAACACCAATGGCTTCAGAGCAAGTAAGAAGAAAAGATGACAACATTATTGATGAACAACATCAAATCCAAATCAAGAAAACAAGAGACCCCAAAAGAGGTAGTGGCACTGCTGCTGCTACTTCTGTGAAAGTACAAGTTGGAAGTGATTTTCACCTTGCTGGTCCTGGTGCAATTCATGTTACAAATGATTCTGATAAACATTCTTTTGAAGAGAGGCCAGGAGGTGTCAAGTTTGAAGTACATAGCCAGAGACACAAGGGTAATGATAATGTCAAAGAATTGGCAAGTCATGGACTTGGTTCCACAGGTTAGAAGCGAATTCAGGATTTAAATTTGAAATTTGATAGATTTAAGATTTCATGTTCAAAACATAATGTGTAGTACGATTTCTTCAAGATCTTTTACATGTTTACCAATGGTATATGTTGAATATATGATGATTTTAAATCTTGAATCCGTCTTTGGTACAGGTGCTTATGCAACATCAAAAGGTGCACAAGCCAAAGATAGTATGACACATGGTGTTCAAAGTGGACATGACTATGTTGCTGATAAGACTGGAGCTGCTAAAAACACAACCCTCAAGAAGAGCCAGCAAGGTTACTCTCCAACTAAAGATACCCTTACAAGCACAGGACAAAATGTAGTTCAATCAGCACAACAAGCTAAAGATTATGCTAAAAACACAGCACTTGACAAGGGTCATCAAACTTATGCTGCTGCCACAGACACCCTTTCAAGTGCTGGACAAACTGCAGCTCGATCAGCAAAGAAGTCAAAAGACACAGTTCTAGACAAGGGTCACCAAGCTTATGCTGCTACAACAGACACCCTTTTAAACACAGGACAGACTGCAGCTCAATCAGCAAAGAAGGCTAAAGACACAGTTCTTGACAAGGGTCAGCAAGCTTATGGTGCTACTACAGATACCCTTTCAAGTGCTGGACAAACTGCAGCTCAATCTGCAAAGAAGGCGAAAGACACAGTTCTTGACAAGGGTCAGCAAGCTTATGCTGCTACTACAGACACTCTTTCAAGTGCTGGACAAACTGCAGCTCAATCTGCAAAGAAGGCTAAGGACACAGTTCTTGGTAAGGGTCAGCAAGCTTATGCTGCAACTACTGATACCCTTTCAAGTGCTGGACAAACTACAGTTCAATCAACAAAGAATGCAGCAGGTTATGTTGGGCAGAAAGCAGTAGAAGCGAAAGACGTCACATTAGAAACGGGAAAAGGAGCATTGGGATATGCAGGGGAAGTAACCGAGACTGTGAAGGACAAAGCTGCAGTGGCTGGTTGGGGAGCTGCACATTATACAGCAGAGAAAGCTGCAGAGGCCACAAAAGCTGTGGTTGGTGTTGCTTCTAATGTTGCAGGGTACACTGGGGAAAAGGCGGTGGCCGCTAAGGATGCAGTTGCTGGCACTGGAATGAACGTTCTCGGATATGCAGAGAACAAGTTGGCTGATGCAAAGGACTATGTGGTTTCAACTGAAGAAAGTGCAGCAGAGTATGCAGCTAGGAAGAAAGCTGAAGCTGAGAGGGAACTAGAAGCTAAGAGATCATATGACTTCAAGGTAAAAACATGAGTAATTAAATGTTTTTCTTGCTTATGCATCACTATGTTAGATATTTCTATGTATTATTTGGTTGATATAAAACTTTGCAGGGAGAAACTGAAAGTGGATTCATTAGTGGGAAAAAGCAAGAAACAAAGTGGGAAGAAGAAGGAAATGATGATTTTCACGAATTCGAATCAGCAGGAGGAGAGGAAAACATGCAGCAACAGAAGCAAGGAGGAGGACTGTTGAAAGCCATTGGTGAAACTATAGTGGAGATAGGCAAGACAGCCACAGATCTTATTGCTGGACGTGGACATGTAGAAGAATCAGTTAGCATGGAGAAGAAAAATCAGCCACAATAGAAATTTTGAGCATTTAGAGCACATCTTAGTTCTTTCTGTCTCAAAGTGTTTTTTAGTTCTTTCTTTCTCAACCCTCCGTGAACGTAGAATGCTTTGTGCATCAGGTTATCACTTTCTTTTTGCTTTTTTCCAAGGGTCAGTTTGAGGGGGGCCTAATTTTTATGGGCCCTGGAACTTGTTTTTGTGATTGCTAGCAAAGATAGAAAGAGCTAGTATCCTCCTTTTTTTTGTTGGATCATCTTCAGGTTGTTCATCAATGATGGGGGTATATTTTACCCTTTTTTGTGATCACTTGGGTGAACCTCCTCCTGATTTATCCTGTTAATTCCATCCGCTAGCTATCCATTTCTAACCTGCTTTAGCCTAATAAGATTCGTCTAGCTCTCTCTCTCCGCTCCTACCTTAATAGGAAATCGGAACTCTGTTGACTCTGGTTGTGGCATATACGAGGTCCCTGGAGGATTAGATGTATGTAGACTTTACTCTTATCAAGAACGATAAAAAAAGAGGCATATACATTATGCATTACAATAGAAGGATGTGAGAACTCGAAATTAAGCAAAAGAATACACAGTATTTATACAAAACTAGATCTTGTGAATTTTTACATGCATAAAAGATGGAAGCAAACATCAATCAACAACAACATAATAATATAGTAAGAGATGTGAAAAATGAAAAAGGGAAAGTAATATACTGTGTACACAAAAAAAAAAAAAAAAAAAAGTGTGTTAACAAGGGATTTGATCAGTGAACCACTCCATAACATGAATTGGGGCTTTTATCAACTCCAATGCCAATTCAACCAACACAGTTACACAAAGGCAACAAGGGCATATGCAACTCAATGTCAACCTGTACATAATTCCACATATATAAGAAAAAGAAGAAAATCAATAATTCCATTAGTAACAGTAAAGTATTACTCTATCTCGATTGCTCGATTGATGTGACTTTTTTTTAAAAAAATAATCAAATTATGTAAATTTTAATTAATATTTGACACCATATATTTTTCCACGTGATAAGAAATTGTAATTTACCTATAGTATTTTTCATATAATTTTTAATTTAATAGTCTGTTCGGATAATTCTAAGAAGCTAACTAAAAGTGCTTTATTTTCTGTGTTTAAACATGTTTCTATGGGAAAAATAACTCCTTTGGCCATAAAATTTATTCAATTTTTTTTTAAAAAAATTACTTTATTTAAAATTCAGTGTTTTTAGCTATCAAAATTCAAATCCAACTTGAAATTGTATAACATGAACATTGACTGACACAAATACTTTTTTGCCAAAAATATAACTTAATTTTCAATTCCAATTTCAAATAAAATAAAAAAAATAATTAAAATCTATAACCAAATCCATAGGCTAGTAGTAAAGTTGTTTCCCAAAGTTGGGAAAAAAAACAAATTTCGAGATAAACACTTTTAGAACATCGATCAAGCACAAATTCAAAAGGTTAACCATATTAGCTAGTATAATTTAACTTCAAAAGTTAATCGAAGAAGAAGAAATAGAACGAACCCGACGATCCAGACGATAACGCCGACGACGGAGACGAGAAGAGAAAGGAGAGCAAACGGGAGACCCAGAAGAAAAGCCAACGGCCTACATCCACCATCTCCACAGCACATTATTACTAACTAATTTCTGCTGAAATTTGGAGAACAGAATTTTAATTTGTGAAGAAGAATAGAATAAAATGTCTCTGTAATTTCTTTCTATATACCAAAAAAAAAACTGTATACAGGCACGTAATAGTCATAGATTTGGATTTTAATACTCCCTTCATCATGTTATGTGGTACTTTTTAGATTTCGAGATTCAAATTTATCGTTTAAACATTTTGAATTATCAATTATTGTCACTAATAGTACTTTTTACGTAGTTTACAAATATATAAATTTCATTTCAAAAAAATTGAAGATTTCATACGCAAATTTCCAATCAAACTTAAATTATTTGACTCTCCAAAAACGAAAATTGTGGCATAAATTGGAACAGATGGGTAATATTTTAGTAATAAGAGAGTGGGAGGCTGGATGCTATTTTGATAAAGGAATATAAGATTATTACATAGAAAAAAGAAGAAGAAGATTGAACACGCAAACACATTTAATATTTTAAAGAATCTTTTTTTTTTTTACGAATTTCATATTTGAATTATTATGTGTTTGTGTTTTCTACAATACATTTTGAAGATGACTTAGATTAAGGGTCATTTGGTAGAGTATATTAACAAAAATAATGTACGAATTACCTCTGTCAAAGACTGCATTACCCTTCAAAATTCTTTTTACATCTTTTCCACCATAATTATGGAGGATATCTTTATAAATAAATATTTTTATGTCATGTATGTTATTTTTAATATACCAAGCAAACAATGCATAAGAAATAATCTATGTATAATTAATGCAAACATTATTAATATTTAGTATTACTTTTATACATCAAACGACCCATAACTGTTTGAATACAATCGCTAAAAGGCATATGACAACTTAATTTACACATAAACCTTTATAAATGACACAATTGGTTCATTAATTTTGAGGTGTTTTTTCTTATTCGAGATTCAAACAAGTCTATCATTTAAATATTTTGAATTATTAATTTTTGTGACTTATAGCACTTTTTACGTAGTTTACAAATATATAAATTTCATTTTAGAAAAATTGAAGATTCCATATGTAAATTTTCGATCAAATTTAAATTGTTTGACTCTCAAAAAATGAAAACTATAACATAAATTGAAACAGTGAGACTAATATTTTAGTAATAAGAGAGTGGGAGGCTGGATGCTATTTTGATAAAGGAATATAAGATTACATAGAAAAAAAGAAGAAGAAGATTGAACACGCAAACACATTTAATATTTTAAAGAATCAATTTTCTTTTTACGAATTTCATATCTGAATTATTAAGTGTTTGTGTTTTCTACAATACATTTTGAAGATGACTTAGATTAAGGGTCATTTGGTAGAGTATATTAACAAAAATAATGTACGCATTACCTCTGTCAAAGACTGCATTACCCCCTCAAAATTCTTTTTACATTTTTTTCACCATAATTATAGAGGATATCTTTATAAATAAACATTTTTATGCAATGTATATTATTTGTAATATACCAACCAAACAATGCATAAGAAATAATCTATGTATAATTAATGCAAACATTATTAATATACTCTATTTAGCATTATTTTTATACACTTTATCAAATGACCCATAAGTATTTGAATACAATCGCCAAAAGGCATATCACAACTCAATTTACACATAAACCTTTATAAATGACAATTGATTCATTAATTTTGAGGTGTTTTTTCTTATTAATAGTTGGTGATAATCTTTTTTTTTTCTTTTTTAAAGTTTAGCTTTGGACTACTTTTCTTAAGCTGATAATCTATCGAAAATAATTTCTCTAAGATTTCATTATGCATGATTATATTGGATATGTTATTGTTATGGAAAAGAAAACCACATGATAATTCAAAAAAAAGTGATACTTCAAATATATCTTTGATCTTTATATCTTACTCGTAATTATTTTTTAAAAACAATTATTTTGTTAATTCGCATGAAGCGTCATTTAGCATCATTTTTATATAAAAGTTAGAGAGAAAAAAAGAGTGTTACCACGCATTATCAAATATTAATTAATGTGTGTTTAAATAGATAATTCAGATAGAAAACACAATCACTTAACAATTTAGATATTAAACTCGTAAAATAAGAAGAAGAGATGTTTAAGATGACATGCATGGCAAGAAAGTGAGGTGTGAACCCTACAATTCATCCAAAAGAACGACAAGCTTTAACGTAGTGGTTTTACATTTCTCTTTTTGGGCTGAAACTTTCTTTGATAGACATAAAGAGGTTATTCCATTTGGTTTAATATTTCTTTGGAGTTTAATTTATATATATCAATAATAAATAATTTCTATATTATTAAAATAGTTATTTTGAAAGCTCAAATTTAAAATCTTTAGTTAATGCCAGCTCAGTATACTAGAATTCGCATTATGTGCGTGGTTCGGAGAAAGATCAGACCATAAGGATCTTTTATTTTCCTTTTAATTTATTGATGAAGAAATTGGACTTTGTAGATGAATGAATTGGATTCCTCTTTTGCTACTTTAAGGCAAGTTAAATGTTTCACGTCATTAGAATATAAAGGAAAAATTCTAAAATAAAGACCAAATTCAATTTGCTTTCTTTTGTTCAGCTTAGAAAATATTTTTTGTTATAATGGGCGCCTAAAAAAGTTTAAAATGTAAAAAGTCACTTATAATAAAGCATATAGTATATAACAACACTACGAGCAAAAATCACAATTCAGACTTTGAACTTTATGAGTTTGAGTTTGATATTTTATCATAAACTCATTTGATTTACTGTGTTTTAAATTCATTATTTATACTTAGAAAGTGAATAGCGTTCGAGCCACAGCTAGTGAGTATGGATGAACCCATAAGTTGAACTCTCCATCAAAAAAAAAAAAGAACTCTCCATGTGTCTTCCCACAAGTGGGATCGAGGGTGATATGTATGCATTCTTACCCCTACCTTGGAAAGGTAGAGAGATGATTTCCGATAGACCCTCAGGCTCAAGTGCACAGCTGCCGGCTAAAGATTTTCTAGAAAATGCCAGAATGCATATACACTAGTACATTAGGGGTCGTTTGGTAGAGTGTATAAGAATAATGCTGAAAATGATGTATTAGTAATGCATGCATTAGTAATGCTTGCATTATTTCTTATACATTGTTTGGTTTGATGTATTGGAAATAGCAAGTCTTGTATAAAGACTATTAAAAAATATTTGTTTACAAAAATACCCCCACATTATTATTATTATAATTATTCTTATTATTATTATTTTAATTATTATTATAATTATAATTATTATATTTATTATAATTATTTTTATTATAATTATTATTATAATAATAATAATAATAATTATATTTATTATTATTATTATTAGGCTTAGAGGGTAGTTTTGTCATTAGTTAATCTAATGCATGCATTAAAACCATTGCATTGCTAATACCTAGAAATCCATGGCATTAGCAATACACACCTTAATACACAATAGAGTGTATAACTAATGCAAGCATTAGTTATACATAGGTTGGAAAAGAGTACCAAACAAGGTACTAGTAATACACAATGCTAATGCATGCGTTATTTTTTCTAATACACTCTACCAAACGACCCCTTAAAAGCTTTATATATATATCAAGAGGATTCAAATATTTATATGCATACGAGAAAATTTGGTTTTACCTTATTTGTACAGTATAATTTTCGATGAAGGGGATTCAACTAGACCTTCTTTCCTATATGTGGCTCTGCCACTGGCCACGGCTGAAGAGCTCGACATTATGCCATGTTCTGTCACGAGAAAAGGCCATCCTCGATCCAATCCAATGCCAATCTAGTCTGCAAAATATCAGAGCTTAGCTGGAAATTCAAGATTGTACAATAGTCTAGGCTCTGTTTGATAGTCGATGCGACTAGGTTAGAGTGATGACAGCAAATCGCGCTCAGGTTGTTACCCTGTGAGATCAAAGAGTTAACAAGTCCTTTTACAATTGGCAGACCAGCTCGTTAAAATTTTAGCAGGAGCGTTTGCCGCTGTCAGTAATTTGTTCCTCCAAGTACAATCAGTTCCTCGATATAGGAATCATCAGTGTGGACTATCTAGACTCGAGTTCTCCTTTTCCATAGCAATTATGCATTCCAATCGATCATAAACCTGCATCGTTTTCCATATCCTCACAGTTCTCAGATGTAATAGAGAAAAAAAAAACGTGTAGAAAAGGAGTTTTTCTACATTTCAGGTCTTGAGGTCCAAGGACGGAATACCTGAGATAACTTCTTTTGCTTATCTTCTACACTTGAAGAAGGATCGTACCTGGATACCAAAAATACAGTGTTCTCAGTTTAATCGGTGAACAAATGTGATCTATATAATTGTGACTTACCATTCCCGTGGAAGACCAGCTTCATCTCTAGCCAAATGGTTGAATGGTCCTTTAACCACCACGTTATACTCCTCTAGTAAATCTGTAAGAGAAGTTGGTGAATTCGCTTAAGAGGCTAGAGAGTGGCTACACCTAACAAAACGGATAAAATAAAATGGACCTCTGAAAGTAGTGCAAGGGGTGCGTCCCATTTTCTCACAAACCGAAACGAACCAGAAGACGCCTACAGCCACGTGTGCAATTTCTTCATCAGCAATTTTAGCCACAATTTTGGAAGTCCTATGATCTCCAAAACCAATCAGTTTTTGCACCAGCCGAGGCCCAGCATCAAGACCTCTTGCCTCCTATAGCAATAAGACAACACATGAATACATGTAACATCTCCAACCCACAAACTATAAACGAATTTTTAGTCCAGCGTTCAGGTGAAAAAGCATTTTAATAAAATGGGCCCAGATACGGCATACAGCAGAATGGAAATGGAAATTGAAATTTCATAAACCGACGTAACTAGTTTGAGATTAAGGAGTAGATGATATTGTTGTACTTGTGAAATTCCTTTAGGAGAAGTGAGGAAAAATGATAGCGAGAACTTCATATAGGAACTCGCTAAGTTTCAGTACTGGAACCTCTAGCTAAATCATTTATCTGAATTTCTGATATGAGAACCTAACATGAGATTATTAACATGGTCTTAGGGGATTCCTGCACCATATTATGAATTTGTGCACACCTATCCACTTATTAAATCGGTAACACACCATTGCAGAGATTTGACCACAGCACCTTTTAGTGACAAAATTTAGCCTCACCTAGGTGCAGACTAAGCAGTACAAAACATTGCGTCTACCGTGACACAAGTGGCTATACAATTGCCTTTGATGATTTCCATAAAGATTCAAACACTATGTTACACATCCATCTTCAAGTAAAACAGAAAACTATTACAAAAGGAAAATACTGAAGCTCTTGAGAAGTAATTCAACCCTATGTTGCTCGGCCAAACAGTTGAAAAAGGGGGATACAGATATGGGAGCAATCACAACAACAAATTAATCGAAATGGACAGCATTATTCAAAAAACAGTAGAAAGAACAATAACGAAAATGGACCTTTTTTAAAAAATAATTACAAATATTGTTACACTTCCTGGATATATCATAATCACACAGCTATAAGATAGATCTCAAGCAATCAAAGACAAATAAGCGGAGTAAATTGAACAATACTCAATACATAATATCGAAAATTTAAAGCAGTTGATTTATCATTCTTAGTAAAATAGTGAAGGACCTGGACAAGTGGGATTGAAGCCAGCCGTGCAGCAACATTATTTGAAGATTTCTCACACTCTCTCCAAAGCAAATTATGAGCGGGCATGTCACCATAGCTGTTTAATTTAGCAAAGAGATATAAGCATCCATTTTATGAACTACAAAACCTTTCATGCCAAACTTAGAAGGTAATCTATTAATTAATCACCTGACTCCAAGCTCAGATAGTCTCTGGCAACACCATGCAAAATGGCGACTCTCATCATCAGCCACATGAGCAAAATCAGCAAAGAACCCATCACCCAAAAGGTCACTGTACGGTGAGAAACGGACAACAGTATCCCATGCCAAGTCAATAGCATTTAACTCCACATGAGCAAGATTATGAAGCATATATGCATTGAGAGATAAACCCGAGTGTTTAGGAGATGGAATTTCCTTGGGTGGAACCTGTACTCAAGAATCATAAACATATAAGCTAAAGTTACAAATTGGCAAAAGAATCACAAGAAAATAAAAACACCAACGTATTAGGTTTTGGTTGAACCCCATTCAATGCCAAGATCTGTAAAGATGTATTGCAAGCAGGTGTACATAAATATAGTGGTATCTAGGATTGGAAACAAGGAAAAACAATTGAAATATTCATTTCCCTTATCAAAATTAAGGAGAGAGAAGATAAACTGTTTGCACTTAACATTCAAGTCTCGAAGCTCAAATGTATGTCAATGTAAAATTAAAAAGCTACACACACATATGAATCCTCCCTGGCCATGTTACTCCATTTAAACTCATTTCATGCCAATGTTATGAAAATACAAATAATAAGTGTTAGAAATATTCAATATTTTCTAAATGTATAAATTTCTGAAAGGCTAAACCACTCCTAGAAAGCATCGAACCTACAATGGAAGTGCTAACATGATAAAAATATATTCTACACTAATATGTATCGCCTATATATCGGTCTTTTTCTTACATTGTGTTCCATCTGTCGCTAAGTTTGCATGGATCCACAGCAATTGTAGGTCCCGAAGAGAACTTCATTTAAGGTCTAGGCAAATGCCTAGAAATCACATAATTTTTGTGTCTAGTGGGATTTGAACCCTACACTATAAGGCTATATCAAACCTAGTAACTGTAGGCAGAGACAGATGTATGAGTATAAGTAAGTGGGGGCAAAACTATCATTGAAGCCACTGCTCCTTCATGACAATAGGTGTTAACTTAGTATGTGTACGTGTATATTATGTGTATATGTTAGAATAAGGAGTCCAATTAGTGCGGAATTAGAAACACACCTAAAGTATGGCAAAACTTTCAATTACACACCTAAACTACGCGGGACCCTAAACTTATTTTTTCGTCTTATCTAACCTCATTTACTAAATATCTGATAAAAAAAATAAGTTAAAATGTAGCGCGGAACATCACATAAATCACTAGTCCTTTGTGACAATAGGTATGGTTTTGGTAACAACATACATTTCTAAATTCCAAAACTATACAAACGGTCTAAGTCGAAGACTGTAGGTACACCCACTCACTTCTAAGAAACTACATCCGTCTATGCCTTTTTGATAAAGCGACTAGCAAAACTCAAATAAAACAATTTATTCAAGTTTAAACATCTTAAAAAAAAACAATCAATGAAAGTAAAGTTCACCTCTTTGCCTATACATCTCTTAAGAAAACAAATATAAAGTGCATACTACATAAACAACACACTCAACTGCCTCAACCGTCAAGTAAACACTCTTAACTTTGAAAATGCACATCTAAGACACCTCAACTTGACCTCAACTAATAACTAAACACTCCAACCCATCCCCATTGTTTCTCGTGTACACCCGAAGCTGACGTGACATATAAAAGTTAGAGCACTTACTTGCCGCTGAAACCAAATTTGAGTGTCTGATTATGTATTATGCCGATATAAAGAGCAAATGTAGTAAATTGAACCCACATAAACAAAAACAAAAAAACAAAACTTGGAAGGAAAATGGAGAAAAACAAACCAGTTGAGGTTTGGAGGGTCGAGCAGGTCGAACCGGGGGTTCAAAATTCCCAACAGGGAGACCTTCTTCACGCCATCTACAATAACCCAAATGGGTAAGCTTCGATTTCAATAAAGGGTCACTGGTAGAAAGAACAGCAGCGCCCATTTCAGCAAGTGACGAAGCAGACGAAATCGAATCCAACAAAGCTGATTCTTGAATCAAATTTGAGGATTGCGGTACATTATCAGGTCCATTGGGTCCCCAAAATCGGTGGTGGTTAAGGGAACTGTGTCTCCAATTGTGCAGACCCGTCCACTGATTTGGTAATTCTGGGTAATGAATACTACTACTAGAAATGGTGTTTTTTGTAGTGGAAATGGTTTGAAAGGGAGGAGAAAAGAGAGTGAACTTTAGTGTTGAAGGAATTATGGGTCTGAATTTGATAGTATATGCCATTTTTGGATGAAATTTGAGGTTTTCCGGTAAGAAAGGCTCTGTTTGTTTTTGTCGACTGTATAAGAATAAGCAAATATAATAGCAGCGGCAGCTGTAAGGGCTGTGGCGGAGTGGTAATCTTTCATCCTTAATCGATAAGTTCGGGTTAAGTTTGTTAAATATAGAATTGTGTTTTTTAAGAAGTATTCCAATGCAAATTCGAACTTAATCGAGCTCAAAAATCAAAAAAAATTATACATAACAATACTATATTTTACAAACCTTTTAAGTTAGCTTTTCTATTATCATCTTTCGGTTAAGAAAAGACAATAATGGATAGTTTGAGGTGTATGTTAATGAATTAATCATAGTTCACGTTAGAAATTTGTACAGATGATAATTTAGCATAGAAATTTAAAATTTTGAGATAATGTAATTGTGACTTTTTTTTTTATATTAACGTACACTTTAATGTTTCACATCAACTTTGTCGTGATTAAAGTAAATATAGACGGACCTTTCTTTAATGCAGAGCCGGTCAGATATTTATTCTCAATCCATAATAGGTGTTTAGGTCAATTTAGCATCAAGGTATGTTTTTTAGAGTGATAGTTGAGGTATAAATCTAGCAAAAAGGCGATAATTTTGATAGGTAAATAAAATAATGGATAGTTGAAATGTTTAAATTATAAAAAGGTGATAGCTTCGAAGTTTTTACTATTAACTCAAATATTTCAATATTTATGTTTAACTAATTAATTTAAAATGTATTTTTCAATATGTGCAATTAATATTTGTTTAAATTTTTTATTTAAAATGCTTCTAAATATATATTTTTAAAAGTATTTTTGAGGAGAACTTATTTTTTTCAACTTCTAAAAAATAGCCAAAAATCATAGAAAATATATTGTGACTATACAATATAGTTCGTCAAAAGTCATAGAAAAATATCACTGCTACACAATATAGCTTACATATACATGAGTTACTATACATTATAATACACTCAAAAAGTTGAATAGATCTTGTAAATGTTTTGTTACTATACTAACGAATTTAATTATACATGAAGTATACACCAACTATTCAATCTCAATCAACTCAAAATCACCTCTAAACAGTCCCAAAATTTAGATATGAAATCCTCTCAGATGTTTCGAGTCTTTAAAGAAACGATTCATACTTGCAATAAGTCATTTTTTTTAAAAAGAAAAAGAGAGAAGACGAATAGCCATTGGTTAAACAAATTGCACACAATGTAGGGTAAGAACTCATCCGTATCTACTCTTTACACCAACATATTGATTTAGGGTAAAAACTTATATGTACCCTGTATTTACACCAACACATATCATGCATTCATTAATTTAGCGTAAGCAATATGTGCATGTAAGTTTTACCCTACACATGTTATGCATTAATAGGGAAACAATTATTCATTGAAACATACTAGAAGTTAGATAATTGTCCTAATTAATTTATTACTTCATTGAAGCATAGGATATTTTCACAGAGCACCTAAAACTGGTACAAGTTAGGAAGAGATAAAAAAAGTTGTACCACATTCAAGTGATTCAATCACTCACTGAGTACACAGGTCCATGTGACCTAAACAATGACTTCAAACTGCACAAATCAGTACTCCATAAGCAAAATATACATAAGCTGCTGCAAACTAGATGCTACTATTATACAAATTGAGACCAGCCACTAGCATATGCCACAACCACTTGCAGCAGCACCCTCTTGATTGAAGGACCACATACGCATGATCGTGATTTTGAAATCTGCAAACAAACTTGGAAATATTAGTGACTTTGAGTTCGAGTTCAAGTTCAAGCATATGACTTAGGGAGCAATATTAATGATCAGTTTTACGATGGACTGGAAAGCATGAATAAGATTAATTCAGCAGAAAAGATAGCTACCAACTCTAGTTCTGGCAAACTTGTATCAATCAACATAGAGTAAGATATATTGCTTAATTTTATGTTGCTCGGACTCTCCAAAGCTACCACACCCATGTTGGATACTCCAAAAATGCACCAGAGAACATTTTTGCAGAGTTTGAGCAACATAGGTCTAATTTGTTGCTGCATCACTCGATCAGAAAATTCATTTTCAAAAGGTAAATTCAACTAAAGAGTAGATATTTCTGATGTTAAATGTTTGGTCTTTCACCAGACAACCCTGGTAGAGTAACAAGACTATGGGGTGCTCAAGATCGTTTTTCCAGGATATTGGGAGCTCAAAATCTTCACCCAAGAGGATATCAATAGCAGTTCAACGGAATACCAACCATTTTCGTCAATCATGCTACACAACTATGATGTTCAGATCTCTGCAATTTCACATATGTGAAACTTCCATCATTCGTGTTACCAACACCGTGTTATAATTGTATTACCTTCGGGATGTAAGTGAATTCAGATTAACATGATTAGAAAGAAAACAAATACTCATTTGGCATAAAATCATGCCAACAAGACTCAAAATACAATCATCTATCATATATGCAGGTTCTATATCATTTGCCAAGTTAGTGTTATCAATGTTACATCAACCTCCAGCGATCATACATTCTAATTAACTAGAAAGAAAAAAAATACTCACCAACTACAAGACCATAATGTTAAGCTGCACTATTCTATGTTCAGCATTCTTTATTTCTCTGATTGACTGCTAACCTTTAGGAATTTAAGGGTGCCTTGAACTCCGGTAAATCATCCATTCGATCAATCAATAAGTATAACTCGATCCTAAACTAATTGGGGTTTTAACTATATGAATCCACTATCATTCCATTCTTTTAAATTGTATCCTCTGTATCATTCTACTCTTTTCAAGTTCATCCTATTCCAAACAAACACTGATTCAAATATAAGTGTAACAACAACTTTCCTAATCCAGCCAGCTGGTATTACCTATATGGTACCTTTGCATTTTGTTACTTAAGTCAGCATAGATTTCAAGACAACATACCAGAATGTGATCTTAGATCTACCCTTATAGCTCCTTCAGTCATCATACCGCCACACGACATTGGTATGTATACAAACGATATGGTCAAATCATCTCAAGTGATATTCTATCATTTTCCTTGAAAATCCAGCTAGCATTTTCACGATTTCATCAGTTCAGGTAAACCTTTCTCTTCATCTCATGAAAATAATTGTTTTAGAAACATTTTGATATTATTTTACATTCTTCATCATAAAATATGTAGTTAAACTACAGTTAAATACTTGACAAAATTGAAAAATGATTGGTGTGTGTTATTCAACTCATATAAACTAATTATTATATTGTGTTGTCAGTGCATTAGGAAAAATTGAGGCTGGTAACATTAGTCTATAGATATCCATAGGTGTATATACTACAACCAAAAGTGTAGTTCCCCTTCAAAAAAGTATTACATCTTACAGAATCTTCGACTTAATCAGATTGATGCCTATAAACAATCTAGTACATCAAAGATGTCTTCTGTTCTAGCTAAAATGTCTTGTTTACACCAAAAATAGAAAAGAGCTAAGCAATTCATTCTAATCTTCTGAAGGCTATTCTGCACATTCTCAAAGCTCCGATTGTTCCTCTCTTTCCAAATTGTCCACCAAATGCATTAGGAAATAAATTTTCCTAACAGAAAAGGGTCATATTTGCCCCTGTACTCTCAAGAAAGGGTCATATTTACCCTTCGTTATACTTTTTTGATATATTTACCCTTGACATCCAACTTTAAGGCCATATTTACCCTTCATCCGTTAAATCCCCATATTCCCACATAAAATTACCTATGTGGGGCCTAGGTGGATTTTATTTTTCCTTAATTAAATCTAATCTCTATTTAAATCATTTTAACCCGCCCCACACGATTAAACCCGATCCACTACCAAAATAAACCTAAAAGCAGGTCGTTGAGTGTCCATGGATCTGGTGTGACGGAACAGGAGACTACCGTGGGTTTCCATTAATGTTTTCTGGTGGCTTTATGAGATGGATCAAGGCAGAGGTGTGAATATGGCAGAACTTTTATTGATTGATTTGGAAAATCTGAGAGGATTAGAGAACATATCAGGCTGTGTATGAGAGCTCAGAGTTCATTGGGCAATGGATCAAATCACCTCATATTGTCAAGCCCAAGCGAGTTTGCTTAGAAGCTGATCTGAAGCACTAAACTATCCAAATCAGTTAGGCCCCCTCTAAACCCCCTCTCTGGTTACTCGCATCATCATTCCCAACTATTGGTTGAATTGGGATCTAGCCAGCAAGCAGTTCCTCTATGATAGCACATTCTTTCCACTGCCCATATTCATCTTTATTCCACTACTATAGACTTTGAATTCTGTTCTCTCTAATTGCCCAAGTATGCCCATCATGTTCTCAACCAAAAACTGCATCTATTTTTGAATAAAATGCTTAACCAATGAAAGTTGGCTCTAATATACTTAACAAAAGATGTTGGATTGAATGTTAAAATCTATTATTGTTTTTAATCTGATTGTTGTCTGGTACGAAAGAGGAGATATATAATTTTCTCAGTTTGTTTGTATAGAAACGCCTGTGTAGAGAAAATTTAAGCAGGAAGCAAGTTGGGTTTATTTTGGTTAGTGGATCGGATTTAATCAGATAGAATAGGTTAAAATGAATTAAATAGTGATTAGATTTAATTAGGAAAAAATTAAAATCCATGTAAGCGCCACATTAGTAATTTTGTGGGAATATGGGGATTTAACGGATGGAGGGTAAATGTGACCTTAAAGTTAGATGACAAGGGTAAATATATCAAAAAAGTATAACAAAGGGCAAATATGACCCTTTTTTGAGAGTACAGGGGCAAATATGACCCTTTTCCCTTTTCCTAATATGTTCAATCCTCTCTTTTTGGCTCAAATCTTTCTTTTGAATCTATATTTGATAATCACTGGTACGTTGTTGTTGTTGAATTTATATTTAATATTACTTCCTCTGTCCCAATTTATGTAATGACGTTTGACTGGTTACAAAGTTCAAGAAAGAAAAGAAAACTTTTGAAATTTGTGATCTAAAATATGCCATAGATATTTGTGTGACTATGAATCATCTCATTAAAGGTAAAATGGACATTTTAAAGTTAATTA